CATCACCTCCTGGCAAATAGAAGGGGAAGATATGGAGGCAGTGAGAGAGTTTACCTTCTTGGGTTCCATGATCACTGCAGATGGTGACAGCAGCCACGAAATTGAAAGATGCCTGCTTCTTGAGAGGAAAACAATGAGAATCCTAGACAGCATCTTAAAAAGCAGAGACATCACCTTGCCGACAAAGGTCCGCATAGTCAAAGCTATGGTTTTTCCTATAGTGAGAACTGGACCATAAAGAAAGCTGACCGCCGAAGAATTGATGCTTTTGAATTGTGGTGCTGAAGGATACTCTTGAGAGTCCCATGGACTGCAAGGAGAACAAACCTATTGACAGGTCTCAAAGTCAACCTAAGGAATTGTTCATTGCAATTCAGTGTATAAGTTGTTACAGAATCAGAATTTAGTCAAGCAACATGTAACAAAGGAACACAGCTGAGTTAATTGAGGCAGCTGTGGGACAACCAATTTGATTGGAGAAACCAAGGATAAAACTAGCCAAGCTTGCAGAGACAAACTGTTGGATAGCTTGGGTGGTTGGATTGTTGTGTTGCTGGTGGTCGTGTTGTTGAGAGCTGTATATACTGCATCGCTGGATGAAGACTTGCCATATTGCAAGGAGAAGATCCTGGAGGAAGACTATCTCCGTGGTGAGAGGAGAAGACTTCGTGGATGCTGGACTATTTATATTGGTAACAATCTTTGGTTACTGAAACTGTAATTTACCATTGCAAAGTGAAGAACTACTGTGAATGACCAGGACTGTGTAAAGACCAAGAGAAGCTGTATTTATCCCTGTATATATGGACTTTAATGTAAATAATTCTATCAACACTACAAACGTGTCTGTTTGGTTTCATCTCTGAGCAGTTCATTTCACCATTACGCCCCCTGGCGTAGTCTGGTAACGCAGCACCTCTGTCACCTATCCATCCTAAAAGAAGTCAACCCTGACTGCTCACTGAAAGAACAGATCTTGAAGCTGAGGCTCCAATACTTTGGCCATCTCATGAGAAGAGAAGACTCCCTGGAAAAGACCCTGATGTTGGTAAAGTGTGAAGGCAAGAGGAGAGGGGGATGACAGAGGACAAGATGGTTCAACAGTATCATCGAAGCTACCAAGATGAATTTGACCCAACTCCGGGAGGCAGTGGAAGACAGGAGGGCCTGGCGTACTCTGGTCCATGAAGTCACGAAGAGTCAGACACAACGACTAAGCAACAATAACAATTCTGTCTAGTGGGCTTTACCACATAAGCACTGCAGCAAGAATGAAGAGAACAGCTTGTTCTATGCCTTTCAGTTTTGCCATAAAACAGCATTTGTCCATGGACTAAACTCTTTAAATAAAATAGGGAATGAACACATGTGTAGGCCTGGGCACCTGCACACACACACAGATTTTACATTTTCTGCCAGAAAGTACCAGTACTTCTGTTATTAAGAACTGCAAGGTTCAAACTAATTTATATTCACATGCTAATGTGTTTCAGTTCATTAATGCAGGAAAACAAGTCACACTGGGAGGAAAACATACACATATTTATCCTATACATTTGCTTTACCTTGAAAAGCATTTGGCAGCAAGAAAACTACAGCCCATTGAAACAGACTGTTCAAAGGGGGAGCCATGTTACTCCATTTTAACAAGCATGACAAACAAATAAATGGGAAACAAAGACAAGTGGCACCTCCTGAGACTAAAAGATTTACTTTAGCATGAGCTTTTGCAGATAACAATTTGTTTGGTGCATCTGACCAAGCTGTTCATTATCCATGAAAGCTCATGTTGAATGAAATGTTTCTTATAATTCACTATTTTAGAGCTTGCATGTCTGTTATTTGCAATTTCAGCTGTGACCTCTTCACATTTTCTACTCTTTGTATTCTCCCTAGAACAGCACAGGTTAATCAAAGTCCTACTTACTCTATCAAAAGCCTCTCTTTCTTTTCTTTCTGTCATTTCAGAGTTCCCTTTGTACGGTGTGCAGAAATCAATATCTGAAGCCAACAGACCAAGCATGATTTCAAAACAAAGTAAGATTGCAATCCTTTTGTAAGTCATGTTACAGAAAAACAGAGAGAAAATACAGCTAAAGGAAAGGAATCCGTATTTTTCTGTAGAAAATCAATACAGCTTCTTGAACAGGATTAAGTCTTTCAGTCTTATAAATTTCTGTCTCCCACTAATGGTGAAGCACGTAGGGTGTTCCTCTACTGATGACAGAACTGGGTTATTTTTTATCCAGACATTTTAGATGCTGCCTCAGCTCTAAAATTTCAGTTTGTCACAACTCTGAAATTTTTGATCCCAATAGAGCAATCAGATCAGTTTTAATCAACTCTTCCATTAACAATTCTCTCCCTTTCTTACCTTTCTTGAGATTATATTGAAGTATTCATTGCTGTCAAATAGTCTGAGGTAACGTAGGGCATCCCTAGAGTACAAAATATCCCCAGTGGAAACCTCCAAACATACCGTCAATTTGTTTCTCCCTAGGATGATACAAACTATACAACCACAAGAATTACTTTTTTGCTGTTGATCAACCATGTTGTTTCTGAGGTGCATCGTAGCAGCTCACAGCATAACAATAGAAAACTGAGTAGCATTCCTGCTTGTGTCTTGGCTAGATTGGGATGTGCTCCATACTTTCTTTGTCTATCTGTAACACCCCCTCCTTGCCAAGCATTAAAAGGAATTCCCAAAATTGTAGTCTGTCAGGAAAATATTACACTTCTGTTTCTCGAGACTACTCTGAACACATCCACCAATTATTTGTCGCTTTATCTATTTTACTTCTGACACAAGACCACCAGTTTTAAAAATCTGTTTAAGAAATCTTGAGTTATCTGGAAAAAACCACAGAATTAATGCATATGCAGGCAAGGGATAGCCACTACCAGCTACATTTCAGACCAAAAGGTTGCAAGAAATTAATAGTTAAAAATTTTAGACAGTGATCCAGTAAAGAATGGTACTAAACTCTTGGAGCTATCTTACAGATCAACGTCCTTTGGAAATGATATATGGACTTTAATAAGGCCAGTGTAATCTATACATGTATAAAAATGAATGTGCCTTTCACTGCCATTCTTACCATCTCTCTCTGACTCAGAAGTCATCAAAAATGTGAGGAACTCAGCAAGTGGTTAACACTGAATGCAAGTTGTAATGTTACATCAACAGACATCATCACAAAGAATAACGATTCCAGAACCTACACTGCACATGTTTCTTGTTGAGGAATTCCTTTAATGGCAAGACTTGCCTAACTTAAGTAACAAATCCAAAGAAGGATCCTAAAAGCACTTTAGGAATATCGAATGGCTGAGGAAGCAAGTAAATGCATTTTTAAAGGATTATTTAAATAACAGCCTTCTGGATATCTTATGAAATTCTTCTCTATTTCATAATCCATTTGTCAGAGGGCATCAGTGATGGTGGCAAGGCTCTTAAGAGGGAATGTCTGATTACAGCCTCCTTAGACAACGACAAATGATCACACAGCTCACTGGATCCCAACTGAAGAGATTCAAGTCTTGATTTTCTATAATTAATCAGAACGTGTCATTCTCTTCCAGTGGGTGTGGCTGGCAAAAGCAGTGAGATTCTGATTGCGAAGATCGTAACTGTGGCGGTTTCAGGTTAAGTCAGCTAAGAAATTTTTCGACTGACTCAAAGTTACCTCCAGGAGAGGAAGAAGTTGGAGGGGAGCCAAAGGCTGACTCCAGAGAGACCCTGAAATATCTATCTATCTACAGTGGTGCCTCGCTTAACGATTGCCTCGTTTAGCAATGAATTCGCATAACGATGTGTTTTTTTAGAAAATAATATGCA